TATGGGGATTGAGTACATAAATTTATAAAAATATAATGGCCTTATATTTCAACGCATGGCACATCACCAGAAATAGTACCACTTTCAAGCAAATTTAGATTTGGTTTGTCGGTAAAAGCGTCTGACTAGAAATCAGATTCTCCATATCAGCGTAGGTTCGAAACCTACCTACTGCAAACGGCCGCGTAGAGTGGTGCGGTTTCGTAAACACCATAGCGTGGTAGGTTTCCGACGTTCCTATCAAACCGCCACCGAAGAGGTTCACGGTCTAGGCAATCTATATACTCAACTTTGGTCCATTTTGGTTAGTTTTGGTTATCGCTTTGGTGATGCCAACCACCACGGAGGCGGTCTACCATCTAGGCGGTCTATATACTTCAATTTGGTCCATTTTGGTTAGTTTCGGTTATGGAAGCGGTCTATATATAGAGACGACCTATATATGGGGGCGGTCTGTATATAGAGGCGATCTGTATATGGAGGCGGTATATAAATGGAGGCGGTCTATAAATGGAGGCGGTCTATATATACAGGCGGTCTATATATGGAGCCGGTCCGCATATGGAAGCGGTTTATATATAGAGGCGGTCTGTATATGGGGGGGGTCCGTATATGGAGGCGGTCCGTATACGAAGGCGGTCTGTATTTAGAGACGGTCCGTATATAATGGCGGTCCGTATATGGAGGTGATCCGTATATGGAGGCGATCAGTATATGGAGGCGTTCTGTATATCAAGGCGGTCCGTATGCGAAGGCGGTCTGTATTTGGAGGCGGTCCATATATAAAGGCGTTCCATATAATGGAGGCGATCCCTATATGGAAGCGGTTCGTATAGGGAGGCGGTCGGTATACGGAGGCGGTCCGTATACAAAGGCGATCCATATACGAAGGCGGTCTATATATGGAGCCGGTCCGCATACAAAAGCGATCCATATACGTATACCAAATTCAAGGTGAAACCGCGAAAGGCTCATTAAATCAGTTATGGTTCCTTAGATCGTACCCACAATTACTTGGATAACTGTGGTAATTCTAGAGCTAATACATGCAAACAGAGGTCCGACCGGAGACGGAAGGAGTTCTTTTATTAGATCAAAACCAATCGGTGGCGAGTTCGCGCCCGACATCGTTCAACTTGGTGACTCTGAATAACTTTACGCTGATCGCACGGTCTCGCACCGGCGACGCATCTTTCAAATGTCTGCCTTATCAACTGTCGATGGTAGGTTCTGCGCCTACCATGGTCGTAACGGGTAACGGGGAATCAGGGTTCGATTCCGGAGAGGGAGCCTGAGAAACGGCTACCATATCCAAGGAGGGCAGCAGGCGCGCAAATTACCCACTCCCGGCACGGGGAGGTAGTGACGAAAAATAACGATACGGGACTCATCCGAGGCCCCGTAATCGGAATGAGTACACTCTAAACCCTTTAACGCGAGGATCAATTGGAGGGCAAGTCTGGTGCCAGCAGCCGCGGTAATTCCAGCTCCAATAGCGTATATTAAAGTTGTTGCGGTTAAAAAGCTCGTAGTCGAATTTGTGTCTCGCGCCGCCGGTTCATCGTCCGCGGTGTTAACTGGCGTGCCGCGAGACGTCCTGCCGGTGGACTTAGCCCGTTCACGCGGGCGGTCCAACTCAATCCTGCCGCGGTGCTCTTCATTGAGTGTCGAGGTGGGCCGGCACGTTTACTTTGAACAAATTAGAGTGCTTAAAGCAGGCTAAAACTTCGCCTGAATACTGTGTGCATGGAATAATGGAATAGGACCTCGGTTCTATTTTGTTGGTTTTCGGAACCCCGAGGTAATGATTAATAGGAACGGATGGGGGCATTCGTATTGCGACGTTAAAGGTGAAATTCTTGGATCGTCGCAAGACGGACAGAAGCGAAAGCATTTGCCAAAAACGTTTTCATTGATCAAGAACGAAAGTTAGAGGTTCGAAGGCGATCAGATACCGCCCTAGTCCCCGCATAACAAGCGGCGCGAAGCGACCTAACTCTAAACGTTGCCGGCTCGCGATGTATCTCGGGAACGGCCGGTCCGATCGGGATGAAACTTGGCGGGTCGGCGGAGGGGGCGGCCGCGATTTCGGCGCCGCGAGCAAAACCGCCCCCGACCTCGGGGGGCGGAGTTACCGCCCCCGAAAGAACTTTTTTCCAGAAAATGGCGGAAACGATGTCGGATCTGGGTAAAACGGGGTCGGAAACCGTCCCCATTGGGGCGGAAATTCACTCCGTTTCTCGATACCACGAACCGTTTCCGAGATACGGCGGTTTTTTGGAAAAATTTTCAAAATTTTCAAATCGTCGTATCTCGAAAACGGTGCGTCGGAGGCGAAAAATAAGCGAATTTTCGTACCGGCCTCGGTTTCATTAATTAAAGAGACCGGCCGATTCGGCGTGGGGAATCGACTGACAAAGTCTCAACCCCCCCCCTCCAAATTTTAACCCCTCGGATTTTGTAATTTTTGGAAAAAAAATCAGAGAAAATGCCTTCTAAGGATAAAGGGGGGTAAGAAGCGACCCCTTTGGGGTGAAAATTTCGTGAGTTTTTCGATCCGACGAGCCGTTTTCGAGATTTCGACATTTTCGAAAAATTTTCGAAAAAGGGCCGTATCTCGGAAACGGTGCGTCGGAGGCGAAAAATAAGCGAATTTTCGTACCGGCCTCGGCATTATTTATTAAGGGGACCGGCCGGCTCGGCGTGGGGAATCGACTGACAAAGTCTCAACCCCCCCCCCCCCCCCCCCCCAAATTTTAACCCCTCGGATTTCGTAATTTTTGAAAAAAAAATCGGAGAAAATGTCTTCTAAGGGTAAAGGGGGGTAAGAAGCGACCCCTTTGGGGTGAAAATTTTGTCCTTTTTTTGATTGGACGAACCGTTTTTGAGATATAGCGATTTTAATATCGAAAATTTTTTTTTCGATAAACGGCCGTATCTCGGTAAGGGTGCGTCGGAGGCGAAAAATAAGCGAATTTTCGTACCGAGTTTCCTAAAATGCGCGTTGAGTGGTGCGGATTCGTAACCACTATAGCCTGGTAGGTTTCCGACGTTCCTCCTATCCATTCAAGTTTTAAATTATGAATGGAGGTAGGCTCGCAATACTCTATACGATGCCGGCGGGGGTACCAAAATCAAGAAAATGGGGAAACCGATACCGGATTCCCGTAAAATGGGGTGGTAAAGCGTCCCCTATGGGACAAAAAATTGCTCGGTTTTCCCAAAAAACGAACCGTTTTCGAGTTATGGCCATTTTAAAATTGAAAAAAAAAAATTCGAAAAAGGGCCGTATCTCGGAAACGGTGCGTCGGAGGCGAAAAATAAGCCAATTTTCGTACCGAGTTTCTTAAAATGCGCGCAGAGTGGTGCGGTTTCGTAAACACCATAGGGTGGCAGGTTTCCGACGTTCCTAACAAACCGCCACCGAAGAAGTTCACGGTCTAGGCAATCTATATACTCAACTTTGGTCCATTTTGGTTAGTTTTGGTTATCGCTTTAGTGATGCCAACCACCACGGAGGCGGTCTACCATCTATTCGGTCTATATACTCCACTTTGATCCATTTTGGTTAGTTTCGGTTATGGAAGCGCTCTATATATAGAGACGACCTATATATGGGGGCGGTCTGTATATAGAGGCGATCTGTATATGGAGGCGGTCTATAAATGGAGGCGGTCTATATATACAGGCGGTCTATATATGGAGCCGGTCCGCATATAGAAGCGGTTTACATATAGAGGCGGTCTGTATATGGAGGCGGTCCGTATATGGAGGCGGTCCGTATACGAAGGCGGTCTGTATTTAGAGACGGTCCGTATATAATGGCGGTCCGTATATAAAGGCGTTCTGTATATGGAGGCGATCCCTATATGGAAGCGTATAGCAAGGCGATCCATATACGAAGGCGGTCTATATATGGAGCCGGTCCGCATACAAAGGCGATCCGTATACGCGAATTCGAGGTGAAACCGCGAAAGGCTCATTAAATCAGTTATGGTTCCTTAGATCGTACCCACAATTACTTGGATAACTGTGGTAATTCTAGAGCTAATACATGCAAACAGAGGTCCGACCGGAGACGGAAGGAGTGCTTTTATTAGATCAAAACCAATCGGTGGCGGGTTCGCGCCCGACATCGTTCAACTTGGTGACTCTGAATAACTTTACGCTGATCGCACGGTCTCGCACCGGCGACGCATCTTTCAAATGTCTGCCTTATCAACTGTCGATGGTAGGTTCTGCGCCTACCATGGTCGTAACGGGTAACGGGGAATCAGGGTTCGATTCCGGAGAGGGAGCCTGAGAAACGGCTACCATATCCAAGGAGGGCAGCAGGCGCGCAAATTACCCACTCCCGGCACGGGGAGGTAGTGACGAAAAATAACGATACGGGACTCATCCGAGGCCCCGTAATCGGAATGAGTACACTCTAAACCCTTTAACGCGAGGATCAATTGGAGGGCAAGTCTGGTGCCAGCAGCCGCGGTAATTCCAGCTCCAATAGCGTATATTAAAAAGCTCGTAGTCGAATTTGTGTCTCGCGCCGCCGGTTCATCGTCCGCGGTGTTAACTGGCGTGCCGCGAGACGTCCTGCCGGTGGACTTAGCCCGTTCACGCGGGCGGTCCAACTCAATCCTGCCGCGGTGCTCTTCATTGAGTGTCGAGGTGGGCCGGCACGTTTACTTTGAACAAATTAGAGTGCTTAAAGCAGGCTAAAACTTCGCCTGAATACTGTGTGCATGGAATAATGGAATAGGACCTCGGTTCTATTTTGTTGGTTTTCGGAACCCCGAGGTAATGATTAATAGGAACGGATGGGGGCATTCGTATTGCGGCGTTAGAGGTGAAATTCTTGGATCGTCGCAAGACGGACAGAAGCGAAAGCATTTGCCAAAAACGTTTTCATTGATCAAGAACGAAAGTTAGAGGTTCGAAGGCGATCAGATACCGCCCTAGTCCCCGCATAACAAGCGGCCCCCGAAAGAACTTTTTTCCGGAAAATGGCGGAAACGATGTCGGATCCGGGTAAAACGGGGTCGGAAACCGTCCCTTTAGGGCGGAAATTCGCTCCGTTTCTCGCTACGACGAACCGTTTCCGAGATACGGCGGTTTTTTGGAAAAATTTTCAAAATTTTCAAATCGTCGTATCTCGAAAACTGTGCGTCGGAGGCGAAAAATAAGCGAATTTTCGTACCGGCCTCGGCTTTATTAGCTAGGCGGACCGGCGGACTCGGCGTGGGGAATCGACTGACAAAGTCTCAACCCCCCCCCCCTCCAAATTTTACCCCCTCGGATTTTGTAATTTTTGAAAAAAAAAATCGGAGAAAATGCCTTCTAAGAAGCGACCCATTTGGGGTGAAAATTTCGTGCGTTTTTCGATCCGACGAGCCGTTTTCGAGATTTCGACATTTTCGAAAAATTTTCGAAAAAGGGCCGTATCTCGGAAACGGTGCGTCGGAGGCGAAAAATAAGCGAATTTTCGTACCGGCCTCGGCATCATTAATTAAATGGACCGGCCGACTCGGCGTGGGGAATCGCCTGGCAAAGTCTCAAAACCCCCCCTCCAAATTTTACCCCCTCGAATTTTGTAATTTTTGAAAAAAAAAATCGGAGAATATGCCTTCTAAGGGTAAAGGGGGGCGAGAAGCGACCCTTTTGGGGCGAAAATTTCGTGCGTTTTTCGATCCGACGAGCCGTTTTCGAGATTTCGACATTTTCGAAAAATTTTCGAAAAAGGGCCGTATCTCGGAAACGGTGCGTCGGAGGCGAAAAATAAGCGAATTGTCGTACCGGCCTCAACATCATTGAGTAGGCGGACCGGCGAACTCGGCGTGGGGAATCGACTGGCAAAGTATCAAATCCAAATTTTACCCCCCCGAATTTTGTAATTTTTGAAAAAAAAAATCGGAGAAAATGTCTTCTAAGGGTAAAGGGGGGTGAGAAGCGACCCCTATGGGGTGAAAATTTTGTCCTTTTTTTGATTGGACGAACCGTTATGGCCATTTTAAAATCGAAAAAAAAATACGAAAAAGGGCCGTATCTCGGTAACGGTGCGTCGGAGGCGAAAAATAAGCGAATTTTCGTACCGAGCTCAAAATAGCGCGTAAAGTAGTGCGGATTCGTAACCGCTATAGCCTGGTAGGTTTCCGACGTTCCTCCTATCCATTCAAGTTTTAAATCTATACGATGCCGGCGGGGGTACCAAAATCAAGAAAATGGGGAAACCGATACCGGATTCCCGTAAAATGGGGTGGTAAAGCGTCCCCAGTGGGACAAAAATTTGCTCGGTTTTCTCAAAAAACGAACCGTTTTCGAGATATAGCCATTTTAAAATCGAAAAAAAATTTTCGAGAAAGGGCCGTATCTCGGTAAGGGTGCGTCGGAGGCGAAAAATAAGCGAATTTTCGTACCGAGCTCAACACGACGCGCGTAGAGTGGTGCGGATTCGTAAGCACTATAGCCTGGTAGGTTTCCGACGTTCCTCCTATCCATTCAAGTTTTAAATTTTAAATCGAGGTAGGCTCGCAATACTCTATACGATGCCGGCGGGGGCACCAAAATCAAGAAAATGGGAAAACAGATACCGGATTCCCGTAAAATGGGGTGGTAAACCGTCCCCTTTAGGGCAAAAAATTGCTCGGTTTTCCCAAAAAACGAACCGTTTTCGAGCTATAGCCATTTAAAAATGGAAAAAAAAATTTCGAAAAAGGGCCGTATCTCGGAAACGGTGCGTCGGAGGCGAAAAATAAGCGAATTTTCGTCCCGAGTTTATTATAACGCGCGTAGAGTGGTGCGGTTTCGTAACCACTATAGTTTGGTAGGCTTCCGACGTTCCTCCTATCCATTCAATTTTCAAATTTTAAAGCGAGGTAGGCTTTCATTTTTCCCTTATTAAAATCGATCGATTATTTTCGTGATTTTTGCATCTCTTAAATATGGCAACGTCCGACGATTCTCTAACAGCCGTTATTTTACCCGCGAAAAAATGATTCACGATCGACGGAGAGAAAACCGTTATAAAAGTGGATGGGGTGACACTGTTGCCAGAAGCATCCCTGCATTGTGATTTATATCGATTTTTATTGAAAAAAAGATCAATTTCAATTCAACGAAAAGAGACGGGATGCAGTTGAAAGTGTTTCCAGATAGATTTCGACGATTCTCATAATTGGTAAAGACAAAAATTAACTCGCATCATTTTTAATAACTACGTTTTGCGCTCAACGTGGCAACGTTCGACGATCTTAGCGATCGTTATCCTAGGCGCGAAATATTAAATAATTGGTGGGGGTGACAATGTAGGTGGGATGATCTTCATCGAGATTTGCATTTAGTTTGTTTTAAAAGTGCACCCGAGAAAGTTAATTGTGATTGATTTTCTTTTTTTAAGGTAATTAAATATATTTCTATTGCTATGTGCTCCTACCCGGACATGAAGAAAAAGTTTTCGAGTTGCGACTATCTCTCGCTAATATATTTTAGTGTTTTTTTTTCTTTGCATTTTTTTTACATCTCTAGCGTCATGTTCAATTTTTTAAAAATATACCGGTTATCCTTAAATTATTTCCTATGTAAAATCATACGCGGGTTGCGTAACTCTGTTTTCACACGATTACACATACTCAGATAAAAATGTTTGCATCTAATCAGATACAGGTTGTCCCATTTTCTTTACATTGGTTCTATGTGTTACGTTATTATATCGCTTCTTTTGAGTCAACGATACTTTCGTTTTCGTTATTTTTATTTCCTTCTTTGAATTTAAATTGTATACAGGACGTCGCGATATTGTTCCCCGCGGTAAATGAGTATTTCGATTTAAATTTGCTAATGTTTTTGCATCTCTGGCTTTATAATTTTAAATTTAATTTTTTAAAAATATACCGGATGTCCTTAAATGATTTCCTACCTAAAATCATGCGCGGGTTGCGTAACTCTGTTTTTACACCATCACACGTTCTTCGATAAGGTAGTTTGCTTTTAATCACATACAGGTTGTCCCATTTTTTTTACATTGGTTCTATGTGTTACGTTATTATTTCGTTTGTTTCGAGCGAACGATATTTTCGTGTTGGTTATTTTTATTTCCTTCTTTCAATTTAAATTGTATACAGGACGTCGCGATATTGTTCACCGCGGCAAATGAGTATTTCGATTTAATTTTGTTAAAGTTTTTGCATCTCTGGCTTCATAATTTTAAATTTAGTTTTTTAAAAATATACCGGATGTCCTTAAATTATTTCCTACGTAAAATCATGCGCGGGTTGGGTAACTCTGTTTTCACACCATCACACGTACTCCGATAAGGTAGTTTGCTTTTAATCACATACAGGTTGTCCCATTTTCTTTACATTGGTTGTATGTGTTTCGTTATTATATCGCTTCCTTTAAGTCAACGATACTTTCGTTTTCGTTATTTTTATTTTCTTCTTTGAATTTAAATTGTATACAGGACGTCGCGATATTGTTCCCCGCGGTAAATGAGTATTTCGATTTAAATTTGCTAATGTTTTTACATCTTTGACTTTATAATTTTAAATTTAATTTTTTAAAAATATGCCGGATGTCTTTAAATTATTTCCTACGTAAAATTATGCGCGGGTTGCGTAACTCTGTTTTTACACCATCACACGTACTCCGATAAGATAGTTTGCTTCTAATCACATACAGGTTGTCCCATTTTCTTTACATTGGTTCTATGTGTTACGTTATTTTATCGTTTGTTTCGAGCGAACGATATTTTCGTGTTCGTTATTTTTATTTCCTTCTTTCAATTTAAATTGTATACAGGACTTTGTAAGATCCTTTTCCGCGATAAATGAGTATTTCGATTTAATTTTGTAAAAGTTTTTGCATTTCTTTCTTCATAATTTTAAATTTAGTTTTTTAAAAATATACCGGATGTCCTTAAATTATTTCCTAAGTAAAATCATACGCTGGTTGCGTAACTCTGTTTTCACACCATCACACGTACTCCGATAAAGTAGTTTGCTTTTAATCACATACAGGTTATCCAATTTTCTTTACATTGGTTCTATGTGTTACGTTATTATATCGTTTGTTTCGAGCGAACGATATTTTCGTGTTGGTTATTTTTATTTCCTTCTTTGAATTTAAATTGTATACAAGACGTCGCGATATTATTCCCCGCGGCAAATGAATATTTCGATTTAATTTTGTTAAAGTTTTTGCATCTCTGACTTTATAAATTTAAATTTAGTTTTTTAAAAATATACCGGATGTCCTTAAATTATTTCCTACGTTAAATCATGCGCGGGTTGCGTAACTCTGTTTTTACACCATCACATGTTCTTCGATATGGTAGTTTGCTTTTAATCACATACAGGTTGTCCCATTTTTTTATATTGGTTCTATGTGTTACGAAGGACAGACGTGCGATCTGTCCAAAAGGTATTGTCTTTCGCATGTTAATATTGCACAAAAACAAGGCCATTGAAGAAAAATTACTTGTGTGAACTTGCATAGTTGAGGCACTTTTCTTCTCTTGTCTTCTTTTTTTGTTTGCTAATTAGGTAGTCTTATTTGTGTATGAATTTCATACTTGTTATTCCAGGCTGCCTGTAGATATTTACCAGACCGCAAAGGTTTCAAAAATACCATTGATGATGGAAAAAGGAACCCTTCCTGTCGAATATAAAGGCAAATCGATAAACGAAATGGACATTGATATTGACTATCCCGAAGAAAATGAACCTAAAGGTAGTCATGCAAAAAGTTTTCTGTTTACTACTAGTTTGCCATTTTATATCTAAATGGTTTCAGAGTCCTGGTCACCAAATGCGCCCACACAAGTCAATGAAATATTGTTTGTGTGGAAAAAAGAAAATATTGAAGCGAATAAAGATAATAATAGTTTTGACCAACCAATTCCTGAAAACATTAAGAAGAACGAAGATCAAGAAACTGCTGATATAGGTAATTCTCTATGTTTTTATTACTTTTACTCAGTTATACTGCCATAGGCATGGTTCATTAGAATAAGAGGTAAAAATAAACCGATGCGAGTTAACGAAAATTTAGGTCAGATTTGTTTTTAATAAATTTATTTTGTTACTGTGGTGTTAAAAAACTAATAATACTAGTGCGAATATAAGTAAAACAGATATGCCGGTCGACATAAAATTGCAAATTTTGAAAGCATACCTTTTCATTGTTTTTTCATATAGGAATTTGAGCACATAATCAATGAAATAATAATACAGATTTTCGTAAGGCACACAGGTGTAATCTACCGTTCATATGGAAGGTGCACACATATTAACAATCAAAGGTCGGGATACCTGTAGTTGTTCGATCTTCGAAGTCAAAAATCTGTTTTTGCTTGCCCTTTTAGGTGCGCAGTGTGAACCAACCGCGTAATCAATTCGTCGATAAGGTTTATAATCTATAAGGTATTTTAATCCGTGGTGAAAACGCTTGAGCCAAGGTACGCAATATACGCTTCGCTCTCTGCGGCTTGTAAGTAAGTAAGTAGATTTCCGTCATAAATTGCAATCTCTTTAGCGACGAAACCTACAGCGTCCTTTAGATTAAAACCTTGAATATCTAACGCCACTATCCGCGTGAGGACAACCGCCAAAAATGTACTGTTTCGCCGAATGTTTTGTGGCAAATTTTTTGAACATATAATTTGCGAATCTTTTTAAAAACCGTTGAATTTGTTTTACTATTTCAGTTAGCGGATTCTAACTAAATACTTCGTCATGTAAAATGAGACAGTAAACCGATGTATCCTTTTGGATATTAGCGCTAGTTTCAAATTCAATTCGCATTACTACAAAACCATTTTGATGAGAACCATCAAATTAAATTGCACTTCTTCCCGCCGTTCTAGAAACGTTTTATATTTCATTGAATTTATTGTAGGCCATGCCGATGAAATTTCGAATTTCACATGGCAAAACGTACGTTTTTTAGGCTACAATCCTTGGAGGACAAGAAACGGGCGTCAACGAGTACCCTTCGATGGCGGGGCTGGTAAATCTGAACCCTTTCATCATAATTTGCGGGGCTAGCATAATCTCTGAATTTTTCGTGTTGACCGCCGGTCATTGCGTCTACAATAGAGATCGCAGCACGTTTTCGGTTTTAGTGGGCGGGCACAACATCACTTCAGGTAATGCAATATCGTCAGTTTCACGTAAAATCTCGCGATCAAAATACAAAGTATCGATTTGTTTATAGGGATCGATATTTCGATATCCGCTTAGTGGGTTTCATTCGACAAACATTAAGCAAACGTCGTTGCTACTCCCTCTCCTCTACTCCCGAATTCTACTTTTCTCTTTCTACTCTTTCTACTCCCGAATCCAAATTATACCGGGCGTGCGGGAAAGTCTCTGAGATTTAGATAAGGCACGAAAAAAATTTTTTTTCTATAGGCGCAACCTACGGAGCTATGACTCTCAAATGGACACCACCGAATTATTTTATTAAAAAAAATAAAACCACAAATTCAATTTTTCCAAATTGTGTTTTCCTCGTGGTTTATAGTTCTTCCCGCCATATTTATTTTTTTATAATGATGGCCTTATGCATTTTTGATTTACCCTGTATCATAAGTTTAGCTAACTGCATTAAATTTAATGTTAATAACGAGGATCGTAGATACTTACACTAAAGTGGATTTCATCTGTTTCGGGATAGTAACTAGTCAAATCTGTTTTAAGTGGTCAATTTTATTATCCATATCCAGAATTTTAAATCAATAAAAAGTTAAAATTTTTTGAATAAAACTAAATTCAAGTTTACAATTACAATTGCAATATTTAACGTTGTATTTAAAATATGAAAAGCTCAATTTCTTAAGAACTATTAATTGCCTCGTTTATTTAAAGCTATACCAAGTGCCCAAAAAGTATGAAAACGGTGGAATACCTGAAGAATTATAAAACTGTTTCATAACACCTAACAAGACCCTCATTCCATGAACACGGTGGTAGAGGGAGAGCAACTTTGACATCTCATTTTTCTTTTGTTTCTCGGTTAATGGCACTGTATTAGCAAAAAAGACGATTTATCGTATTTGTCAAAAATCCGACTTTATTGTTAGCTTCAACATGTTTTTCCACTCCCTAATCCAAAATGTCTAATTATGCACTTATTCATTTATAAATTAAATGAAATGTCAAAGGGGGTATATACCATTTTTGATATATTAACATTTTGTGTAAGAATTGTAGTACCTGTCGTTCTGCATGTCTTGAGAAAAGAAATATGTGCCTATTGTAATAATTTAGTAACCTACTTTTTGTCTTATTGTTACGAACACCGGCAATTATAACCATTGTAAATTTAAACAGTTTTTAAATCTACCGAAAACAATTTGATCGTTCGCGATCTAGAGAAATGCAAACGCTCGAATTGACCCGCGACAATGTTTAATGAAGCTGACATTTTAAAGTGACACTTTGGTAACGAATGATGAATGCATAATTGGGATTTTAGAGAATTTCTTGACAAACATGATAGATAAATGGCCTGGAGGTTACAGCACGAGCTACCGAGAATTCAGAATCAAATTTCGGGCAAAACCTGATATTTTTATGGCACAGAATCCGAATCTGTACTGATTTTATGATTTTAAATTGAATGACAACGTAGTTAGGAGCGGCTTAAATGGCAGCATTAAGTTGTTATTAAACCTTTTCTTTCCTTCTCAAATATCTTGCAACCGTATTTATGTTTAATCTGTATATTTAAATCTTGAATTATCTTAATGTTTTTGTTGTTGCCTTTATTTTTATTATTATGCGAAACAAATATTAAAAAGTGCGAGATAAAATTAGGATATTGAACGACCGACCTATATTTATAAGAATAATTTGCCTTTTAGGAACCACCCCTTATTCGAAGATCGTCATATTTCTACAGCAACGCAATATATTAAAGAGGTAACAAAGACGTCCCGAGATAATGACATGTAGTCTTCCATCACATCAAATTCGTTGTTATGAAATGGAACTTTTTCCCTGACATTCACACCCATTTAACTAGAGAGGGGTATAGCGATAAAAAATCCAACAACATTGACGCATAGAAAAATAACGTGTTGCTTTTAGCGCCACTAGCTGAAAATCCAAAGGAATAGTATTTTCAATGCAAATCAACTGCCATTAAGAAGTTTTATTTATTTTCATAGTTATTTTATTGTTATACTGCGTCTTCTTTCTTTTTCAGTTGTAAATTTTTGTACCCGCTAGGGACGCCTTTACAGAAGTGTGCAACATTATTATTTTATATATAATAATAATATTCGGTTAAACATATTTGTGTCACCGTAGAATCAATATATATTTATATATAAATATATATAAATTTTTTTGATTTTAATCGTCAATAGGCCACGAGTAGAAGAAAATGTTCGGGTAGAGTTCCCAACATACTGTGAAATTTAATATACTCATGACTTTGGGTTCGATACAAGCAGAACACCTATTAACGACATTGAAAGGTACATTTCATAATCAACGTCCCCGCTATAGACTATTATACACGTGGTGTCTGGTCAGAAAATTATAAATATAAAGGTTTAAAATGCAAGAATTGTCACGAGTTCCTGTCCAGCTTTAAAACAAACGAAAACTAAAATGGTTTTTTCTCGTCAGAGAGCATTCTGAATTATTCTTTTTGGCTTAACTCGGTAAGCTCCGTTGGTCGACAAAACATAATCGCTTGATTTGACGCTTCAAAGTGTTATTTAATAGTTCAACCAACTCATACATTTTAGCTGTTATATTGGATCTTGTTTCTTAACTATATTTTGTTGATTTAAAATATTTCATATTTAGTTGAAATATTTATGCCCCAGTATGTTCTACAGAAAAATAATAACTATAAAAGGATTACAAAAGCGGTGTTAAAATTTGTCAAGAAAGAGTTTAAAAAGGACTCTGGAAAGTTTAAACAGTTTTTGAGAATGTCTAATCACACTTTTGTTAATATGCTGAGTCGTATGAAGGCCCAGATGGAGAAAACAAAGTTTCGAAATGCGTTAATGAATATTTTTTATTTCAAGTTCACCGAAAACCTTAATAAACTATTAGATTTCGACGTAAGGCAACCATTCTGAGTCAAATAGTTGCCGATTTCGATAAAATCTTAGTCAGAATCTGCTTTTTCGCCTCTTATTGTACCCAAATCTACCTTAGAAATGCAGATATATATTTAAAACACCTTCTTTTGGGACAAATAATTGGTTTTCGCCCTTGATTTACGGAAGATTATAGCCAAAACATGCATTTTCATAACTTAGCGAACTGAAATCTACATTAAAACTGCAGATACCTACTTAAAAATTCACTTCCTTGAATTGATAATAGGTTTTTCTTTGTCATTTTAAACAGATTCCAGTCAAAATCGGCTTCTTCGATTCATATCGTATCTAAAACCGCATCAAAACTGCAAATATTAGTTTAAACTATCATTTTTTGATACAAACAGTTATATATTCATGTCAATATCTTTCAAATTCTAGTCAAAATCGGCGTCTTTGGGCATTTTAGTAACGAAAACCTTAATAAACTATTAGATTTCGACGTAAGGCAACCTTTCTGAGTCAAATAGTTGCCGATTTCGATAAAATCTTAGTCAGAATCTGCTTTTTCGCCTCTTATTGTACCCAAATCTACCTTAGAAATGCAGATATATACTTTAAACACCTTCTTTTGGGACAAATAATTGGTTTTCGCCCTTGATTTACGGAAGATTATAGCCAAAACATGCATTTTCATAACTTAGCGAACTGAAATCTACATTAAAACTGCAGATAAATACTTAAAAATTCACTTCCTTGAATTGATAATAGGTTTTTCTTTGTCATTTTAAACAGATTCCAGTCAAAATCGGCTTCTTCGACTCATATCGTACCTAAAACCGCATCAAAACTGCAAATATCAGTTTAAACTATCATTTTTTGATACAAACAGTTATATATTCATGTCAATATCTTTCAAATTCTAGTCAAAATCGGCGTCTTTAGGCATTTTAGTAACGAAAACCGTAATAAACTATTAGATTTCGACGTAAGGCAACCTTTCTGAGTCAAATAGTTGCCGATTTCGATAAAATCTTAGTCAGAATCTGTTTTTTCGCCTCTTATTGTACCCAAATCTACCTTACAAATGTAGATATATACTTAAAACACCTTCTTTTGGGACAAATAAGTTCGCTTAGTTATGAAAATGCATGTTTTGGCTATAATCTTCCGTAAATCAAGGGCGAAAACCAATTATTTGTCTCAAAAGAAGGTGTTTTAACTATATATCTGCATTTCTAAGGTAGATTTGGGTACAATAAGAGGCGAAAAAGCAGATTCTGACTAAGATTTTATCGAAATCGGCAACTATTTGACTCAGAAAGGTTGCCTCACGTCGAAATCTAATAGTTTATTAAGGTTTTCGTTACTAAAATGCCCAAAGACGCCGATTTTGACTAGAATTTGAAAGATATTGACATGAATATATAACTGTTTGTATCAAAAAATGATAGTTTAAACTGATATTTGCAGTTTTGATGCGGTTTTAGATACGATATGAATCGAAGAAGCCGATTTTGACTGGAATCTGTTTAAAATGACAAAGAAAAACCTATTATCAATTCAAGGAAGTGAATTTTTAAGTAGTAATCTGCAGTTTTAATGGAGATTTCAGTTCGCTAAGTTATGAAAATGCATGTTTTGGCTATAATCTTCCGTAAATCAAGGGCGAAAACCAATTATTTGTCCCAAAAGAAGGTGTTTTAAGTATATATCTGCATTTCTAAGGTAGATTTGGGTACAATAAGAGGCGAAAAAGCAGATTCTGACTAAGATTTTATCGAAATCGGCAACTATTTGTCTCAGAAAGGTTGCCTTAATTCGAAATCTAATAGTTTATTAAGGTTTTCGTTACTAAAATGCCCAAAGACGCCGATTTTGACTAGAATTTGAAAGATATTGATATGAATATATAACTGTTTGTATCAAAAAATGATAGGTTAAACTGATATTTGCAGGTTTGATGCGGTTTTAGATACGATATGAATCGAAGAAGCCGATTTCGACTGAAATCTGTTTAAAATGACAAAGAAAAACCTTTTATCAATTCAAGGAAGTGAATTTTTAAGTAGTTATCTGCAGTTTTAATGTAGATTTCAGTTCGCTAAGTTATGAAAATGCATGTTTTGGCTATAATCTTCCGTAAATCAAGGGCGAAAACCAATTATTTGTCTCAAAAGAAGGTGTTTTAAGTATATATCTGCATTTCTAAGGTAGATTTGGGTACAATAAGAGGCGAAAAAGCAGATTCTGACTAAGATTTTATCGAAATCGGCAACTATTTGACTCAGAATGGTTGCCTTACGTCGAAATCTAATAGTTTATTAAGGTTTTCGTTACTAAAATGCCCAAAGACGCCGATTTTGACTAGAATTTGAAAGATATTGACATGAATATATAACTGTTTGTATCAAAAAATGATAGTTTAAACTGATATTTGCAGTTTTGATGCGGTTTTAGGTACGATATGAGTCGAAGAAGCTGATTTTGACTGGAATCTGTTTAAAATGACAAAGAAAAACCTATTATCAATTCAAGGAAGTGAATTTTTAAGTAGTTATCTGCAGTTTTAATGTAGATTTCAGTTCGCTAAGTTATGAAAATGCATGTTTTGGCTATAATCTTCCGTAAATCAAGGGCGAAAACCAATTATTTGTCCCAAAAGAAGGTGTTTTAAGTATATATCTGCATTTCTAAGGTAGATTTGGGTACAATAAGAGGCGAAAAAGCAGATTCTGACTAAGATTTTATCGAAATCGGCAACTATTTGACTCAGAAAGGTTTCCTCACGTCGAAATCTAATAGTTTATTAAGGTTTTCGTTACTAAAATGCCCAAAGACGCCGATTTTGACTAGAATTTGAAAGATATTGACATGAATATATAACTGTTTGTATCAAAAAATGATAGTTTAAACTGATATTTGCAGTTTTGATGCGGTTTTAGATACGATATGAATCGAAGAAGCCGATTTTGACTGGAATCTGTTTAAAATGACAAAGAAAAACCTATTATCAATTCAAGGAAGTGAATTTTTAAGTAGTTATCTGCAGTTTTAATGTAGATTTCAGTTCGCTAAGTTATGAAAATGCATGTTTTGGCTATAATCTTCCGTAAATCAAGGGCGAAAACCAATTATTTGTCCCAAAAGAAGGTGTTTTAAGTATATATCTGCATTTCTAAGGTAGATTTGGGTACAATAAGAGGCGAAAAAGCAGATTCTGACTAAGATTTTATCGAAATCGGCAACTATTTGACTCAGAATGGTTGCCTTACGTCGAAATCTAATAGTTTATTAAGGTTTTCGTTACTAAAATGCCCAAAGACGCCGATTTTGACTAGAATTTGAAAGATATTGGCATGAATATATAACTGTTTGTATCAAAAAATGATAGTTTAAACTGATATTTGCAGTTTTGATGCGGTTTTAGATACGATATGAATCGAAGAAGCCGATTTTGACTGGAATCTGTTAAAAATGACAAAGAAAAACCTATTATCAATTCAAGGAAGTGAATTTTTAAGTAGTTATCTGCAGTTTTAATGTAGATTTCAGTTCGCTAAGTTATGAAAATGCATGTTTTGGCTATAATCTTCCGTAAATCAAGGGCGAAAACCAATTATTTGTCCCAAAAGAAGGTGTTTTAAGTATATATCTGCATTTCTAAGGTAGATTTGGGTACAATAAGAGGCGAAAAAGCAGATTCTGACTAAGATTTTATCGAAATCGGCAACTATTTGACTCAGAAAGGTTGCCTTACGTCGAAATCTAATAGTTTATTAAGGTTTTCGTTAGTAAAATGCCCAAAGACGCCGATTTTGACTAGAATTTGAAAGATATTGACATGAATATAAAACTGTTTGTATCAAAAAATGATAGTTTAAACTGATATTTGCAGTTTTGGTTAGTTTTGGTTAGTTTTAATCCGTGGTGAAAACGCTTGAGCCAAGGTACGCAATATACGCTTCGCTCTCTGCGGCTTGTAAGTAAGTAAGTAGATTTCCGTCATAAATTGCAATCTCTTTAGCGACGAAACCTACAGCGTCCTTTAGATTAAAACCTTGAATATCTAACGCCACTATCCGCGTGAGGACAACCGCCAAAAATGTACTGTTTCGCCGAATGTTTTGTGGCAAATTTTTTGAACATATAATTTGCGAATCTTTTTAAAAACCGTTGAATTTGTTTTACTATTTCAGTTAGCGGATTCTAACTAAATGCTTCGTCATGTAAAATGAGACAGTAAACCGATGTATCCTTTTGGATATTAGCGCTAGTTTCAAAATCAATTCGCATTACTACAAAACCATTTTGATGAGAACCATCAAATTAAATTGCACTTCTTCCCGCCGTTCTAGAAACGTTTTATATTTCATTGAATTTATTGTAGGCCATGCGGATGAAATTTCGAATTTCACATGGCAAAACCTACGTTTTTTAGGCTACAATCCTTGGAGGACAAGAAACGGGCGTCAACGAGTACCCTTCGATGGCGGGGCTGGTAAATCTGAACCCTTTCATCATAATTTGCGGGGCTAGCATAATCTCTGAATTTTTCGTGTTGACCGCCGGTCATTGCGTCTACAATAGAGATCGCAGCACGTTTTCGGTTTTAGTGGGCGGGCACAACATCACTTCAGGTAATGCAATATCGTCAGTTTCACGTAAAATCTCGCGATCAAAATACAAAGTATCGATTTGTTTATAGGGATCGATATTTCGATATCCGCTTAGTGGGTTTCATTCGACAAACATTAAGTAAACGTCGTTGCTACTCCCTCTCCTCTACTCCCGAATTCTACTTTTCTCTTTCTACTCTTTCTACTCCCGAATCCAAATTATACCGGGCGTGCGGGAAAGTCTCTGAGATTTTGATAAGGCACGAAAAATTTTTTTTTCTATAGGCGCAACCTACGGAGCTATGACTCTCAAATGGACACCACCGAATTTTTTTATTAAAAAAAATAAAACCACAAATTCAATTTTTCCAAATTGTGTTTTCCTCGTGGTTTATAGTTCTTCCCGCCATATTTATTTTTTTATAATGATGGCCTTATGCATTTTTGATTTACCCTGTATCATAAGTCTAGCTAACTGCATTAAATTTAATGTTAATAACGAGGATCGTAGATACTTACACTAAAGTGGATTTCATCTGTTTCGGGATAGTAACTAGTCAAATCTGTTTTAAGTGGTCAATTTTATTATCCATATCCAGAATTTTAAATCAATAAAATGTTAAAATTTTTTGAATAGAACTAAATTCAAGTTTACAATTACAATTGCAATATTTAACGTTGTATTTAAAATATGAAAAGCTCAATTTCTTAAGAACTATTTATTGCCTCGTTTATTTAAAGCTATACCAAGTGCCCAAAAAGTATGAAAACGGTGGAATACCTGAAGAATTATAAAACTGTTTCATAACACCTAACAAGACCCTCATTCCATGAACACGGTGGTAGAGGGAGAGCAACTTTGACATCTCATTTTTCTTTTGTTTCTCGGTTAATGGCACTGTATTAGCAAAAAAGACGATTTATCGTATTTGTCAAAAATCCGACTTTATTGTTAGCTTCAACATGTTTTTCCACTCCCTAATCCAAAATGTCTAATTATGCACTTATTCATTTATAAATTAAATGAAATGTCAAAGGGGGTATATACCATTTTTGATATATTAACATTTTGTGTAAGAATTGTAGTACCTGTCGTTCTGCATGTCTTGAGAAAAGAAATATGTGCCTATTGTAATAATTTAGTAACCTACTTTTTGTCTTATTGTTACGAACACCGGCAATTATAACCATTGTAAATTTAAACAGTTTTTAAATCTACCGAAAACAATTTGATCGTTCGCGATCTAGAGAAATGCAAACGCTCGAATTGACCCGCGACAGTGTTTAATGAAGCTGACATTTTAAAGTGACACTTTGGTAACGAATGATGAATGCATAATTGGGATTTTAGAGAATTTCTTGACAAACATGATAGATAAATGGCCTGGAGGTTACAGCACGAGCTACCGAGAATTCAGAATCAAATTTCGGGCAAAACCTGATATTTTTATGGCACAGAATCCGAATCTGTACTGATTTTATGATTTTAAATTGAATGACAACGTAGTTAGGAGCGGCTTAAATGGCAGCATTAAGTTGTTATTAAACCTTTTCTTTCCTTCTCAAATATCTTGCAACCGTATTTATGTTTAATCTGTATATTTAAATCTTGAATTATCTTAATGTTTTTGTTGTTGCCTTTATTTTTATTATTATGCGAAACAAATATTAAAAAGTGCGAGATAAAATTAGGATATTGAACGACCGACCTATATTTATAAGAATAATTTGCCTTTTAGGAACCACCCCTTATTCGAAGATCGTCATATTTCTACAGCAACGCAATATATTAAAGAGGTAACAAAGACGTCCCGAGATAATGACATGTAGTCTTCCATCACATCAAATTCGTTGTTATGAAATGGAACTTTTTCCCTGACATTCACACCCATTTAACTAGAGAGGGGTATAGCGATAAAAAATCCAACAACATTGACGCATAGAAAAATAACGTGTTGCTTTTAGCGCCACTAGCTGAAAATCCAAAGGAATAGTATTTTCAATGCAAATCAACTGCCATTAAGAAGTTTTATTTATTTTCATAGTTATTTTATTGTTATACTGCGTCTTCTTTCTTTTTCAGTTGTAAATTTTTGTACCCGCTAGGGACGCCTTTACAGAAGTGTGCAACATTATTATTTTATATATAATAATAATATTCGGTTAAACATATTTGTGTCACCGTAGAATCAATATATATTTATATATAAATATATATAAATTTTTTTGATTTTAATCGTCAATAGGCCACGAGTAGAAGAAAATGTTCGGGTAGAGTTCCCAACATACTGTGAAATTTAATATACTCATGACTTTGGGTTCGATACAAGCAGAACACCTATTAACGACATTGAAAGGTACATTTCATAATCAACGTCCCCGCTATAGACTATTATACACGTGGTGTCTGGTCAGAAAATTATAAATATAAAGGTTTAAAATGCAAGAATTGTCACGAGTTCCTGTCCAGCTTTAAAACAAACGAAAACTAAAATGGTTTTTTCTCGTCAGAGAGCATTCTGAATTATTCTTTTTGGCTTAACTCGGTAAGCTCCGTTGGTCGACAAAACATAATCGCTTGATTTGACGCTTCAAAGTGTTATTTAATAGTTCAACCAACTCATACATTTTAGCTGTTATATTGGATCTTGTTTCTTAACTATATTTTGTTGATTTAAAATATTTCATATTTAGTTGAAATATTTATGCCCCAGTATGTTCTACAGAAAAATAATAACTATAAAAGGATTACAAAAGCGGTGTTAAAATTTGTCAAGAAAGAGTTTAAAAAGGACTCTGGAAAGTTTAAACAGTTTTTGAGAATGTCTAATCACACTTTTGTTAATATGCTGAGTCGTATGAAGGCCCAGATGGAGAAAACAAAGTTTCGAAATGCGTTAATGAATATTTTTTATTTCAAGTTCACCGAAAACCTTAATAAACTATTAGATTTCGACGTAAGGCAACCATTCTGAGTCAAATAGTTGCCGATTTCGATAAAATCTTAGTCAGAATCTGCTTTTTCGCCTCTTATTGTACCCAAATCTACCTTAGAAATGCAGATATATATTTAAAACACCTTCTTTTGGGACAAATAATTGGTTTTCGCCCTTGATTTACGGAAGATTATAGCCAAAACATGCATTTTCATAACTTAGCGAACTGAAATCTACATTAAAACTGCAGATACCTACTTAAAAATTCACTTCCTTGAATTGATAATAGGTTTTTCTTTGTCATTTTAAACAGATTCCAGTCAAAATCGGCTTCTTCGATTCATATCGTATCTAAAACCGCATCAAAACTGCAAATATTAGTTTAAACTATCATTTTTTGATACAAACAGTTATATATTCATGTCAATATCTTTCAAATTCTAGTCAAAATCGGCGTCTTTGGGCATTTTAGTAACGAAAACCTTAATAAACTATTAGATTTCGACGTAAGGCAACCTTTCTGAGTCAAATAGTTGCCGATTTCGATAAAATCTTAGTCAGAATCTGCTTTTTCGCCTCTTATTGTACCCAAATCTACCTTAGAAATGCAGATATATACTTTAAACACCTTCTTTTGGGACAAATAATTGGTTTTCGCCCTTGATTTACGGAAGATTATAGCCAAAACATGCATTTTCATAACTTAGCGAACTGAAATCTACATTAAAACTGCAGATAAATACTTAAAAATTCACTTCCTTGAATTGATAATAGGTTTTTCTTTGTCATTTTAAACAGATTCCAGTCAAAATCGGCTTCTTCGACTCATATCGTACCTAAAACCGCATCAAAACTGCAAATATCAGTTTAAACTATCATTTTTTGATACAAACAGTTATATATTCATGTCAATATCTTTCAAATTCTAGTCAAAATCGGCGTCTTTAGGCATTTTAGTAACGAAAACCGTAATAAACTATTAGATTTCGACGTAAGGCAACCTTTCTGAGTCAAATAGTTGCCGATTTCGATAAAATCTTAGTCAGAATCTGTTTTTTCGCCTCTTATTGTACCCAAATCTACCTTAGAAATGCAGATATATACTTAAAACACCTTCTTTTGGACAAATAATTGGTTTTCGCCCTTGATTTACGGAAGATTATAGCCAAAACATGCATTTTCATAACTTAGCGAACTGAAATCTACATTAAAACTGCAGATAACTACTTAAAAATTCACTTCCTTGAATTGATAATAGGTTTTTCTTTGTCATTTTAAACAGATTCCAGTCAAAATCGGCTTCTTCGATTCATATCGTATCTAAAACCGCATCAAAACTGCAAATATCAGTTTAAACTATCATTTTTTGATACAAACAGTTATATATTCATGTCAATATCTCTCAAATTCTAGTCAAAATCGGCGTCTTTGGGCATTTTAGTAACGAAAACCTTAATAAACTATTAGATTTCGACGTAAGGCAACCTTTCTGAGTCAAATAGTTGCCGATTTCGATAAAATCTTAGTCAGAATCTGCTTTTTCGTCTCTTATTGTACCCAAATCTACAATAGAAATGCAGATATACTTAAAACACCTTCTTTTGGGACAAATAATTGGTTTTCGCCCTTGATTTACGGAAGATTATAGCCAAAACATGCATTTTCATAACTTAGCGAACTGAAATCTACATTAAAACTGCAAATAACTACTTAAAAATTCACTTCCTTGAATTGATAATAGGTTTTTCTTTGTCATTTTAAACAGATTCCAGTCAAAATCGGCTTCTTCGATTCATATCGTATCTAAAACCGCATCAAAACTGCAAATATCAGTTTAAACTATCATTTTTTGATACAAACAGTTATATATTCATGTCAATATCTTTCAAATTCTTGTCAAAATCGGCGCCTTTGGGCATTTTAGTAACGAAAACCTTAATAAACTATTAGATTTCGACGTAAGGCAACCATTCTGAGTCAAATAGTTGCCGATTTCGATAAAATCTTAGTCAGAATCTGCTTTTTCGCCTCTTATTGTACCCAAATCTACCTTAGAAATGCAGATATATACTTAGAAAACCTTCT